TAAATTATATGTTGGGATGTTTAAACTGTCTTTAATATATATAGCATGGCCTTTTCTGTGCGGCATACGATTATATCTGTTATCGTCACTGACACATATTATAATAGATGTGATACTATCTTGGTGATATTTATATACGTTTTGTGTTTCTTTAATCTAAATTGTGATAATGTGATACACGTTAGTTTTCCGAACGCAAAAACATATCAACGAAAATACATACATATCTAATATTGTTTTAGTGTATAGAAGTAAATCCGATTTTCATTAATCGCTGAAATTTTGCGAAGAAAACCCATTCCATTTGCGTAAGTGGAGGTAACAATCAATAACAAGCTAGTGTATGTTATTTTATGTGATTGTTTAACAAACATTTCATTACCTAAGCTCTTCCCGGAACATTCCCGCATCAGCGATTTGTTATGTTAAGGAAAGTTTTGTGAACTTTATTTCAATGAAATAGAAGATGTGTTACTAACATATAGTTTTGTTTCATTTTTCATGATTATCCTGCCAATATTCCATTATGGGAACATACCTATATTTTGGAACCGTCCGAGATATCACTATGAAATGTTGGATTTTCTTAGTCACGCCGTTATAAAACTCTCCTGTAAATTTGATGTGTTTCTGACTATGGAATCTAATACCGGTATGATAAAGGTTAAAATCATGTGACAAGTGTTCCTGAATGCCTTGTCAAAACTGTCCTTGCACAACAGGTCATCTGGTTTTAATGGGGGATATCAATATATTAATTCTGTATTTCACTCCTTTGCTATATCTTTCTTTGACATGCCAACATCTGTCAATATCCTACAGCACGTGTCTGGTCCAACTCATCAATCAGGTCATACACTAGACCTAGTCATAACCAAGGATAGTCGTGATATTTAGGATGTCGATGTTAGTGACAAACAGATATCTGATCATTCACATATTCAGTGCTCTGTCAAATTCACTAAACCCAAGAAAGTGAGAAAAGAAATTACAGACAGACTTGAAATATAGACGTTATGCAGTTTTCTAACGGCATTGCATCTTTTGAGCTGCTGCAGTGATAAGACTGGTGTGTTAACTGCTTGCTCATCAAGGATATTGGATAAGCATGCTCCTCTGATACCTAGTTCTGTTGCCATGTGTCCTCACGGTGGCTGGTATAACGATTACACCTGCAAGCAGAAATAGATATGCCGTGCAGCTGAAAAACAATGGCGTCGATCAAAATTGGAAATTCATCGCCAGTTCTCCTAAACAAGGAATAATGTCAGTAAAGCTTTAGCAGCAGCCGAACGAGCGTTTGCATGCACCTCGATAGAACGCAGTTGCAGCAAGTTCGTGGAATTAGATTCCTTTTTGAACAGTCTTTTGAAGTGGGATAAAGATTGTAATCTATTCAACATGTCAGCTTTTTCCTCGCCAAGATATGGGATATGATCGGTAAGCTCTTCCCTTTTGCTCCTTTACTTTCTTCGTTCGGATAACTGATTCTAAGTTCTAACACTAAATTAGTGGCCCTGTCTGTTGGCCTTATTATTAAGTGAGTGACAGTCACATCGTCTATATTTCAGCCACAACGTGACTAGCCATATTATTGATATTCACTGCAAGATGTAGAAATATTGTACTATCATAGTTATGGCTATGTTGATGTTGCAGGATTGATCAATGAATACAACGTTGACGTCACCAATTACGTTCACTTGCTGAAACCAGGCACCGTTGACAAGTCGATGGTCTTGAACTGTACGTTTATAATCTACCCATTCACTACTAAGTCAGAACTTATTGTCACATTCTAGAGGTGGTTTGTGGGGTTTGGCTACCTGAGCCACCCAATGTGTTCCATAGTAGAATGTTCCTTATGGAACGACTGTTAGACTAATTATCGACGTACATGTATCCGGTACTTGTAATATGTTTCTTTTCTGTTTAACGCCGCAGTCGACATATTCCACCAACAGTTTGTAAATAATCGAGTCCAGTGGTCGTTTGCAAGAGCATCGATGTCCGAAATAGGAATGCTGCGATGACAAGTGTCAACCAAGTCAGCGAGCCTGACCACCCGATCCCATAAGTCGCCTCTTACGACAAACACAGCAGGTTTGGTGAGGACCAATTCTAACCCGGATCTTCACGCTTCTTGGGTAATATGTCACCTCACTGTTTGTTATTCTGTCTTAAAGGCAGGGACCATTTTCAAGCTGTCCGTCGCTGGTGTGTTCGACTCAAAATAGAAGTTCGTAATATCCATTAGTTCGTTATAAGCGTGTTCATTATAAAAGTGGTTTACTGCAGAATGTGTGCCTCAACGTCGAGCATTAGTTGAAGACTTAAACGAACATTAACATTTATTCAAACACGCAATTTTAGGAGCGTTTACTTCATGATTTGCACGTTCTTGGCCGGCGCCTTTTCGATTTCATACTTGAACTAGGAAGTTGCGTGTCAAACAACACGTTATTGGTTATTCCCTTTAGTACATTCCATGTTAATTTAGTACAATAGTACTAAAATACCAGCAATTCAGTTCCTGTTGGTCATCTTCAGTTTCGTATCAGATGGAAAACAGACAACAGACATCATCACATACCCCAATTATGACGTACCAGAATATTCAGAAAAGAGACCATGACATCACTGAATGATACTAAATTAGGTGTTAAAATGTCATGAGCCACATTATAACCTGACATGTTGCTATCTCTGACCCGTCTTGTTAGTGCTGACCGTCTACTGTATCTCGGCGTGTTTGCCCCTGTAACTGCACCCTGCTCCCGAATCAAGCAATGCGGTCCTGAGACACAGTGATAAGAGTGAGTGAGTGAGTTGAGTTTTACACCGCTTTTAGCAATAGTCCAACAATATCACGGCGGTGAACACCACAAATTGGCTTCACACATTGTAACCATGTGGGGAATCGAACCCGGGTCTTCGGCATGACGAGTGAATGTTTTAACAACTAGACCTTCAGATCGCTCCCAGTGATATGAGCTCCTTATGGCTCTTCGTTCTTAGACGTAAAGCGTTTATCTGTGTCTTTCATATAAGACCATGAAACGTGTAGAGTAACATTTCTGTGATTCCTGCATTTTTTGCCTAAATTCATATTCACTAATGTCATTAATTAAAAAAAGCATACATGAGATACAGCAACAACATCATGGATAGAATTTTGTTATCTGAATCAGTGATAACAGATGAGTGTCTTCTTGACTCACCGCACCTTACATCTCTTTAAACGAACGTAGACATGTCACCGAAATTTGGAAAAACGGCTTCGCCCTCACGTCTTTCATTCCGAGTTATGAAAGGGTGATAGTTTCCCAAATAGCAGGTCACCCGGGCAACATGTTAGTTTCATCCATGGAGTCAGAGTTAAGGGCCGACTCACCCGATGCCCTATCAGGTCTTATGACTATGGCACCAGGCTCCACACTCATCATAGAAGTCGCTCTTGGGGGCGTTATTAAGGGTTCAGGCCTGCAACTTTTACCTGGGGTGACAGTACATTGGGACGACACCGTAATGCGAAGCCCCATGCGTTGCAGTATTGTCATACGACGGAGCTCGGACCCCTCACTGAGATTACTGCTCCCCTCAATAGAACTCCCGTGGGTTAGTATAGACCAGAAGTTACCTATTGACCTTTCCCGTATCTTCCGATGCGAGAATCTAAGCCTTATAAGCCTCAAGTACATTGATCGCCTATTAAATAAAGCCCAATTAGAAAATATCTCATAAGATATATTATATGCACACAGAATGGGTCTGTACCCAGTCGTAGAGGAAGTCGCGAAGACACTGGAAACCGTAGACGGGTTCCGCTTGAGACAGTTATGCGACATAACACACCATCTAGAACAAGACCGCGACAGACAGGCAGCATTGTACAAGAAGTACCATAGAGCTTCAATGTCGTGGACGGGGCCGATACCACCCTTATGGCAACCAGCATGGGGTTAGGGGCAGTAGGTGTGGGGTTGTTGGCCACCATCGTAGCAACACCCGTAGTGCTAGGCATCGAAATAACAGCTGGGGTCTCAGGGTTTGCTGGAATGATCTTTAAGTTTGTGTCACGCAGGCTGCATCGTAAGGCATTGAAACACGACGAGATCAGGATCCTAGCCGATGCAAAGTTAAACACCATAGACGACCATATTTCCACCGCTCTCACTGACAATAAAATCTCAGAGTAAGAGTTTCGTTTGGTCCTCTCTGAAAATATCACGAAATGAAACGAGAAATTCGAACCAAGTCTCGTAAGACTGCCGTCACCGAAGACGAGAAAAAAAGGTAACATAGAACAGGGGATACAACAAGCCCAGCAAGCCTTCATTACGAAAACCAAAGAAATCATAGGAGATTCACGTTAAACTGTTTTGCTGAGATCAACATCACGTAGGGCAGCAACGGGCCGCCGTCAGAGAGGAATCACGGCACAATGTTACCCCCACAATGTTACCCCCACAATGTTACCCCCAATGTAAAATATTTAACATGGCGAGTGATCCCAATAGTATCCTGTCACATTAAACTGTTTCCTGTCAACACGACATAGTGTCACGTGATCAGGAAAGTGTTGGTTCGCGGTCATAGTGACCAGGAAGTTAACTGGGAGCTCAAACCTGGTATATACAATAGCGGAGAGAGATAAGAGCCTGACAAAAGCTTTATTTCATGAATGAAGCTTTATAGAGGCTTTTGTTGGACTTGATCTCGCACTGGGGGTACGAGATCAAGGACCGGTAGTTATTGACACAATGCCATTGTCTAGTCAGGGGACGAGTTGTGGTTAAAGCGTTTAGATACTTAAAAAATGTGTTAAGCCACGCACTTTATAAATATTGTAACACTTGCTCATAGTCAGCTGATGTTGGAATTTTACAGTCGAGATTTCTCGAGATTTCTTATGGATGTCCCATTATCGCTGATGGGGCGTAAAGCACCAATTATTCATTCATTCTTAAGGGTGTATTTACATCATGGTGTTGTTTCAGACAAGGAAACTCAAACTGAACATGACTTCATAGCTGAGATGGAAATCAAATATAAGAACGTGAGTTTGGTAATTAAAATAATATAATGCACCATAACCGCTAAAGAAGAGCGTATGAGATAGTATGTATGACTACAAAGTATTAAATGTACTAGAACCAATTAAAATGTAAGACAACGATCTAAAACATTTTGAATCCGTTTTCAGAAGTACATTACCATAATTACCTATCTAATGTCTACAGCACATCGCTTGCCGCGAATAGCTGTAATATTGCTGATGCGGGGTTAAGGAATAATTATTCATTCATTCATTCATTCATTCATTCATTCATTCAGCACATCGGAAAACAGAAGAGGATCATTGACTGAGACAAAACCAAAATCGAAATACATGCAAGCTATATCAGAATTAACAATCTGAGACTGATATGCTTTTTAAACATTCACTTTATTAAAAAGAGGTACAAGGTAACTTCAGTTATTTTGGGTCACGCTGGACACCCGGGTTCGATTCCCAACATGGGCACAATGTGTGAAGCCCATTTCTGGTGTCCCCCATCGTGATATTGCTGGAATATTGCTAAAAAATGTGTAAAGCTAAACTCACTGACTTACTCATTCAGTTATTTTGGAGGTATTCGTTGACAACGAAGTGGGCACAATTTATAGATAACACTTTTATAGTGACTACACATCGTAGGCCGTTATAAGGTTGTCAGACCATTGTAAAGCAATCCAGAAACATCGCTGTGCCAGTAGATAAAATATACGGCATATTCGGTACATTGTATGTTCTTTTCCGAGTTAAGTTTAAAATATTTAGATATTTGTACATACCTATCGCCTACCTCCCCATATGTCCCGACATACATACTTACAGACAATAATGTCTGATTAAGGGTTATCTTTTCAGAGCATCGATGAGAACGAAAACATCGTGAAGAGAGCCTCAGAAACCACTCATTTCCTGCTTGGTAAGGTCCAGTCACCTTTGTTCCTTTACTTTCTTCATTCAGATAACTGAGTCCAGGTTATAACACTAAAATGTTGGCCTGTGTGTTGGGTATATTATTGACATTCACTACAAGATATGAATATGTTGCTTTATCAAAGTGATGGCAATGTTGATGTTGCAGGGCTGCTCAATGAATGCGATGTTCACCTGCTGAAACCAGACGTCTTGGACAAGTCGATGGTGCTGAAGTGTACGTTCATAATCTACCCATTTACCATCTATGCTTACACTACAGACCTCTGAACCCTATTGTCACATCATGGAGGTGATTTGGGGGCTTGGCTACATTAGCCACCCAGTGTATTCTGTAGTAGAATGTTTTGGAACAACTGTTTGGCTAATGATCGACGTACAAAGTGTTTGTTTGTTTGTTGTTTAACGGCGCAATCGGCAATATTCCAGCTCTATGGCGGCGGTCTGCAAATACTCGAGTCTGGACCAGACAATCCAGTGATGGACAGCATGATCATCCATCTACGCAATTGTGATACGATGACATGTGGCAACCAAGCGAGCCTGACCACCCGATTCTGTTAGTTTTCTCTTACGACAAGCATAGTTTGCTGAACACAAATTCTGATCCCGATGTCAATGCTGACTATATTTGGGATACAGCAACATCATCCTAGAGAGAATTTGTCTTCTGAATCGGTGACACCTGATTAGTGTTTGCTGGACTGGTCACTTATTGTACCTTCTTTCAGAATGTTACACTCAGTAGATACGATGTTTATGTGACAGGGCGTGAAATGATATACATATGACATTTTCGCTTTGTCAGCTTCCTGTGGCCATGTGGACGAGCCATCCGACTTCAATCAAAGGTCCATGGTTTGAATCCCATCACGGGATACGGTAGTTTTATGGCCTGTACATAACAATCAGTGATCAAATCTGACCTTCACGTTGTTGTGTTTTTTATCATTTTTGTTCTTAAGATTATCTTTTACTCGTTTGTTTGTTGTTTAACGTTGCATTCAGCAATATTCCAGATATGTGACGGCGGTTTGAAATTATTCAGACAACCCAGTGATTGACAACATGAGCATCTAATCCACGTTTATGTGTTGTAGGTATACATCTGAAGTATGACACAGATAAAGTAAACCTTGACTACACCCACATCAACACAGAGGGGGACTTGATCAACAGCACGTCTGACACCAGGTCTGCAGGGAAAGGGAGACTGACGAACTACTGGGGCACATGCAGCACTATCCCCCTCCCCTTGGCTGATTGTCCCCAGTACTGGGAGACGGAGACCAGGGTCGGACTGGACAAAACACTCACAGGGAGCAATCTCATCCTGGAGGTTGGTGTCTGTGCTGAGGAAGAGATGGACATGACTCACTTTGTAGCCCGTCGTCCCCATGCCTACAGTTTGACCGTCCACCACTGTCCTACTCACAAAGGGATATGTAGGGTAACCTTGAAGGAGGGAAAGGTTGTGTTACATCTACCTGACACCATCCCCAACACAGCAGGGGCATCACACACACTACACTACGGTGTTGTCTATGATGACGCCAGGAAGAAGATTGTCTTCATTGATGTGAAGGAGAACAAGGTGATATCGACGTTAGACAATGTAGACTCCAGTCAACCACTGTGGCCGATGTTCGGGGTGTTTAGCCCACCTGTCGTCACTCTCAGCATGAGACTTGTGGTGGGCAGTGACATCAACATGACAGAGGAGAAGAAAGCCATGATTGTCAAGGCGCTGTCGTGATGTGGCATGCTAAAGCCGGGCATGGTGGTGAGTATGATCACACCCAGATACGTATGTATCAACATGACGGAGGAGAAGAAAGCTCTAGTTATAAGACACTGTCATGATGCCATGTTATGACACCGGCGGCCATGGTGGTGAGTAGGAACACACAGAGATATGTACCAACGATATCAACATGACGGGGGAGAAGAAAGCTCTAGTTATAAGACACTGTCATGATGCCATGTTATGACACCGGCGGCCACTGTCGTGAGTAGGAACACACGGAGATATGTACCAACGATATCAACATGACGGGGGAGAAGAAAGCTCTAGTTATAAGACACTGTCATGATGCCATGTTATGACACCGGCGCCCATGGTTGTGAAGATCAACACAAAGCGTTGTGGACAGCGTCATAAACATGGCAGAGAAGAAAGTTCTGGTTATTTTATGATGACGGTACTTCAGACAGACAGACAGACAGACACTAGTCTAAACCCTGTCTAAGCAAGATGCTCCTCACTGATTACTACTAATCTCCTCATCGTGTTGCTGTCAGGACTTGAAATGTTTGTATTATAATAGCTTTCTACACATTGTTAACGTAGAGGACACTGAGTCCAGCCGTACTGTACACATTGTTAACGTAGAGGACACTGAGGCCAGCCATACTGTACACATTGTTAACGTAGAGGACACTGAGGCCAGCCATACTGTACACATTGTTAACGTAGAGGACACGAAGTCCAGCCATACTGTACACATTGTTAAAGTTCAGGACACGGAGTCCAGCCATACTGTTCACATTATGTGTATCCTGTGGGTCATAAACTCGCTTTAAAAGAACAAATTATGAACGTGAAATTTGTTGGTGACACTGTCAGTCCAGCCATACTGTACACATTATGTGTAGCCTGTTGTCTGGGGCATGAACATGCTTTCCAACATCAAATTATGAATGTGAAATTTGTTAGTGACATTGATTATATCGGACGTTTATGATTTGAAGAAATGTACAATGTAAGACCAAGACTTGTAAAATAAACTAGTGCACTATTACACTTCTATTATGCTTGTATACACATATAAGGTCTCTGTATTGTGTAGGGAAATAAAATTAACATGAGAAGAGCAAAAGAAATTATACATTATACTCATGGAAACTAATAAGGGAACACATGAAAGTGCAAGTGTTCCTTTATTTATTTCCAGAATTTCACTCACAGTACAATACATACCTTGTGAAGAAACCTGGAAAAGAATAAAGGAACATATGTACTTTCAGGTGTTGCCTTATTCGTTTCCATGAGTATATATACAATTAGTTAATAACAGTGGCTTGCATATGAAGTGTCGATGTAAAGTTGGCTTTGGGTATAATCTAACACAGCAGGACATCTTCGTGTATTTATTACTTATCCACATCTACTTTTCAGCAGCAATCTCACACTACCAGCTTGTGTGGTGTAGGGAATGTATTGAAGAGGGCAGCATGTACTGATGGGCTAACATGTATTAAGACGCCAACATGTTTTTAGAGGCTAACATATATTGAGACGCCAACACGTTTGAGAGGCCAACATGTAGCCAACATCTATTGAGGCTCCAACATGTTTTGAGAGGCCAACATGTAGCCAACGTGTATTGAGTCTACAACATGTGTTGAGGCTCCAAGGTGTATTGAGGCTCCAACATGTCTTGAGGTGCCAACATGTTTTGGAAAGAGTTCCGCCTATTTTATAAGGTACTTTTCATTACTTGTGTATCTTTGTATTTATTGAAAACATTAGATGGGGGGTACGTAAGGAACTCTAACCCATGTTTTGAGAGACCAACATGTTTTGAGGCTCCAACATGTTTTGAGAAGCCAATGTGTATTGAGGCTCCAACATGTGTTGAGAGACCAACGTGTATTGAGGCGCCAACATGTTTTGAGAGGGCAACATGTAGCCAACGTGTATTGAGGCTCCACCATGTTTTGAGAAGCCAATGTGTATTGAGGCGCCAACATGTTTTGAGAGACCAACGTGTATTGAGGCGCCAACATGTTTTGAGAGGCCAACATGGAGCAATATGTATGAGGCGCCAACATGTTTTGAGAGACCAACGTGTATTGAGGCGCCAACATGTTTTGAGAGGCCAACATGTATTGAGGCACCAACATGTTTTGAGAGACCAACGTGTATTGAGGCGCCAACATGTTTTGAGAGGGCAACATGTAGCCAACGTGTATTGAGGCTCCACCATGTTTTGAGAGGCCAATGTGTATTGAGGCGCCAACATGTTTTGAGAGACCAACGTGTATTGAGGCGCCAACATGTTTTGAGAGGGCAATATGTATGAGGCGCCAACATGTTTTGAGAGACCAACGTGTATTGAGGCGCCAACATGTTTTGAGAGGCCAACATGTATTGAGGCACCAACATGTTTTGAGAAGCCAATGTGTGTTGAGACGCCAACATGTTTTGAGAGGCCAACGTGTTCTGAGGCTCCAACATGTGTTGGGGGGCCAACATGTACTGAGGGGCAGAGGGGATATGTATTGAGGCTCCAACATGTTTTTGGCGTCAATATGTATGGAGGCTCCAGGGACGATGGAGAAAAGTACTGTACATATACCCATGATCAATCAGTTTTTCTCTGAGCAAGGAATCATTCATAAAAACTGTTTGTAATTTCATACTTTACTGAAAAACGGTGGTTTAAGTAATTGGATATCGACTTTCTAACCCAAGTATTCTGTCATCTCTGGTATATGTACTGTGATGGTCAAAAGTTCAAATATTTATTTTCTCAAAGGCAGAAATATATTAAACTTGATCACAAATGATTTATTTCAGTATATATATTTTATTCATCAAATATACAAATGACATTCACTGTTTCACCACTTGCATTCAGTCTTTCACTCAGCCTAGTTTAACTGCAAATATAATACTTTTATGCATTCACAGGATCAAATTACACATACATCTCAATGATGACCGAGGCAAGTTCTTTAAAGCGAGGGGTGGTGGGGAAGCCTAGAGGTTAAAGTGTTTTCTCGTCACACCAAAGTGAGTGAGTGAGTTTAGTGTTACGCCGCTTTTAGCAATGTTCCAGCTATATCACGGCAGGGGACACCAGAAATGGGCTTTACATATTGTACCCATGTGGGGAATCAAACCTGGGTATTCGGCGTGACGAAAGAATGCTTTAACCACTATGCTACCCCACCGTCCCTCACACCAAAGAACCAAGTTCCATTTCCTACATGCATATAATGGACGAAGCCTATTTCTGGTGTCCTACGCCAGGTTATTGCTGGAATATTACGTATTGCAACAGTTGGGAATTCGCTTGGCCTGAAACCGTGTGTTGTGGCGCCTAGTAGATATCACCTGGGTGACACATGAGTGACAGCTGTCATGTGTGAGAGAGGATGTGGAGTGTGTGCTTCAGTCGCTGTACAGTGTGGTCCCTCCCCAGTGCCATCATCTTGTCCACCACACGAGGCCCTTCCTGAAACAAACAACCACAAATATCATCTGTGTTTCAGAGTCATTTGATATTTAACACCACAGTGGCATTGTTTCAGCATACATACGTACATACGTACATTCGTACAAATTACAAGCGCGCACACGCACGCATGCAGCCCCCACACACATAAAATTGGTCTTCAGCAACCCATGCTTATCTTAAAAGGCGACTAACGGGATCTGGTGGTCAGGAGATCGGGTGGTCAGGCTCGCTGACTTGCTTGACGCATGTCATCACATCCCAAATGAGCACATCAATGCTAATGCTGTTGATCACTGGATTGTCTGGTCCAGACTCGATTATTTACAGACCGCCGCCATATAGGTGACATACATATAAATACATATACATACGTACATTCGTAAATACATACATAGGTACCTACGTACGTACTTATTTACGCCCACGATCGCACGCACGCACGCACACACATTCATACCTATGCTCCTTCATACATGTATACACACACACACACACACACACACACACTTACATACATGCACACATTCATACCTATGTTCCTTCATACATGTATACATACACACACTTACATACATGCACACATTCATACCTATGTTTGTATGTACATGTATATGTGCATACATATAATTTACTGTACTTTACAAAGATTGTGCAATCTTAAATATAACATTTGTTACATTTGATCACTTTCTAAATGGCATTGTGTATTTCATAGCTTTGGGTCGTGGCAGCCGTGCCAATCAACACTTATCAGAGGGGTACACAAAGTCCGCAGTCTAGACTACCAGTTGTCCGACTTCCTTTTTTGTGTAAGCCGCGGTGGCTGAGCGGTATAGGCATCTGGCTTTGTGTGCTGGCGATTAGGTGCCTCACTCTGAGGGTGTGGGTTCGAGTCCCGGATTGGACTCAACCCAACAAAAAGTACTAGAATCTGTACTTTTCAAAGAAAGTGTAATGCCAAATATAACATATGTTACAAACATATAACTGTATACACACCCACAAGCACTCCCACTCCCACTCAATCTATCGGGAACCAAAGCTAGGGTGGGGATCATTGTAACTTTCGCCACCTTGTCTTGAATCGAACCAGGGTCGTCAGGTGACGAGTAGACGCTTTACCCATTAGGCCATCCCACCGCCTCATATCAAAGTAAAACAACTAATGATTGTGATGAAAAAAATAGACATTCATCCTATCTCTTCTCGCATGAAATGTAATTACCTTCACACCACTGAGTGCCTGCCTCAGACTATGCATGACGGGTTTGGCAGAATGACCTTCACCTTGCACCAGCTCCTGCAGCTCCTTCTGGAGCTGATCAGCATCAAAGCCATGAATCACAGACAGCCTGCGACAGCAACTCTCCAACAAGTGTGCAACATCGATGGACGCACTCTTCAAATCCTGAACAGTCTCCCTCTGCGGAGCACTCCATAGAAATCTCCAGTCTGATTTCAGAAGATCCTTCGGTTTGATAATCCTGCCCTGAAACACGTATCAGGGAACTCAACCATATACCAGGTAATTATTCTTTCAAAGTACAGTCGAACACCGCTATATCAAAGTTGATGGAACCAAATAAATACTTCGTGTTGTCCACAGTATAATGCAGTACTGGGGGTTCAGTTTTGCACTGGCATGTGGACAAGATGGCCACCTCTACATCAAATCTATGAACAGTACAACCAGAAATTATT